CAGGGCACCATGCAGCTCCTGACCAGGGCCCTGGGCATTCCCCAGAGCTCAGCACAGGTGTCAGCAGTGCTGAGCACCATCCTCTGCCACATTCCCAGCAGCCCATCATCCTGACACTTGCAGGGCTGTCCCATACCCACAGAATTTGGGAAACTTGCAACTCCCTGTGGCATCTTTGCCCTTTAGAAAGCAGGGCCATTTGCAAACTCTGTCAGTCAGCACACTGAGGGGTTTATTGCCTGTTTACAGCTCTAGCAGAGTTCTCCTGCATGGCAGGGAATGCCACCAGCTTCTTCTGCACTGCAACAGGGGGAGTCTTCTTTTAGTAATTAAGATGTTCTCCCTTTCCATCCCAGTGCAGCTCCCCTGGTTTCTGTACTGCAGGAGGACCTTTCCCTCTGCCACATCGCTACCTGCTCTCTGCAGCTGGTTGTGTCTGTGCAGAGTCAGAGAACATCTTACAAAGTGTCCTGACTCTCCTGTCCCCCAGGGTCCCATTTCTCCAGCTGTTTGTATGGTTATAGGGCAACTTAACCTCTCTTCCTCGAGCCCAGAGCTAGTGCAGCTTGCTCAGACTATTTAACTCGAAGTGCTGACCCATCATTAGGAGTAAACAGCAATGTGCCTGAAGAGAGTACCTTTCCAGAGCACCACCTCAGGTGGAGATTTGCACCTAACAATGGAAACCACTAACAGTGAATTCAAAGGTTTTCAGCCAAATAACAATTGTGATAGAGTTGCAAAGGAACCTAAAAGAGGATTGGAGATGAATCCAAGAAAGCTGGGAAGCTTGACTTGAAAAGTCAGCCACTTCACTGTCTAAAAGGCCCACCTGTAGGCTCCATCCTTGACAAGAGATGTGAACTTTATAAAGTGCACTTTGTCCGGCTGAAGTACAATGGCAGCTAATGGAGTCTGACTTGATACTGAAAAGCTGTGCACTGAAGATCCTGAAAGAGACAATCCCCACCTTAGAGCAGAGCTTGTTACTGAAAAGCCCATGGCTCATCAGCCACAGGCTGTGGCTGCCACACCAGACCCCATGCCCAGAAGCTCCCGTGCGAGGAGGCTATGGGGTCACCTTGGAGTGTTCAGGCCTGGAGGTCAGTCAGCAAAGCCCCTTCGTCACACAAGCCTGCTGTCAGCACCATGGTCCTGCAGAGACCAGTGATCCCTGCTAGCATCCTATCCTTCTCATAATTACCCCTCTCCCGAGTAACCAAGGAAGGAAACCTCTCCTTTCTGGTTGATTCCCAGTGCCCCATGGCTCAGTGTAACTCAGCCTCTGTAGAGGTCCAGGGAGGAGATGGAGGTCAGAGGAGGTCAGAAGTGGCCCCTTTATAGGGTCAGTCCTTGGCTGCCCCTCCCAGAGGTGCCACCAAAATCCTGTGTCCCATCCCAGCCTGCAGGACACCCTCCCCTCTCCTTACACCAAGCCCTGGTTTCTACATCCAGGCTGCAAGGTCCTTCAGGGATGCAGACACTGACCCCCTGCAAACCTACACAGGGCTGGTGCTAGCCTCCAGGCCAGCTGGCACCCAGGCCTGCAGGGAGGGCCGTGCCACAGTAGAGCCAGGCAGGCGGAACACAGCAAGTTGGGGAAGGACATCTGTGAGAAGACGCCTGCACCTCAGGTCTCATCTTCCTTTGCTGTAGCATTGCCAGGGTACACAACATTGCTGCTGCACCCAGGTCAGGAACCGCCACTGACTGACCACATGCACCACAGAGACCTGGAGAGAGGCCAAGCCAGGAGACAAAGCATGTGGCAATGCCCTCTCATGACCAGGAGGAGCGTGAGCTGCCGACTGCCAGTGCAGCACCCTCCAACCATGGGGAGGAGTATGACCCAAATGGGACAGCAGCTAAGGAGGGGCTGTGGGGCCACTGCTGCTTTCCAGCTGGGTACAGCCACAAACCCTATAAAAGGGGAGGAGGTGACATAGAATGCACATAACTCCAGAGCACTTCTCTTGTGAGCTTCTTGGAGACACAAATCTCTCATTTTCCGCTCACCTCTTTTCACCATGATCAGCCCCAATGTGCTTGGATGTCACCTTGCAGGCAAGGACCAAGCCCGGAGAAATAATCACTGCAAGTGCCCAGATCAGACAGCTCATGCATGGGCATATGCAGGGGTGAAGGGAAGTGCAGGGCCAGTCACTGGACACTATACAGCTTTTAGGGACACATAGTGCTACACCAACCAGGTCTTTCCTGCCCCTTTTCTTTTAAGTGAAGGTACCTCAGCTAGCCCAGAGGAGGAGCCTGCAAAGCAGTTTCTATTTGGCAGCCCTCACCTGAGCTGTAAATGTAACAGCCCTCGACAGGGCCCTGATTGCCCTGACACCAGCCCGAGCACCAGCCCAGGGCTGGTGATGACATGGGAGCCATCTGCAGGGCACAGCAGGGGTGTCTGGGTGGCCTCACTGAGCCTGCAGGGTCGCACCTCCCTGCCTGCTCCCCAGGGCAGTGCAGTGAGGGCTGTCTCTGCTCTGCAGCAAGCCTGCCAGTTCATAGTCCAAACCGCATCCACTGCCTGCTGGGACAGCGGTGACACAGCACAGCCTCTGCCTCCCACCAAATCCATGAAACCCAGCGCTTGCAGCTCCATGGGTGGCAGCCCTGGCCAGGCACCTGGGGCAGGGCTGGTCAGGCGGCTGGCTCGTGAGCTCCTGGAGCTTGCACTGCCATGCTGGAGCACAGAGCTGCGCTGGCCAGGATGCCAGCACTGCATGTTGCCATCTGCACCCAGCAGGCCCTGCCCCATGTCCCTGTGAGGCTCCACCATCCCAGAGAGCAATGTCCCAAACCCCCAGACCAAGACCCTGGCAGCACACAGGTGTCCTCAGGGGCTCCTGCTCTGCTGACTCCCATCCCCCTGCTCAGAAATGTTTTCTCTCATCAGCTCTCTGACAGACATCTGTCCCAATGGGAAGGGAAATCTGCGAGGGAAATTCCTCCATGCAAATGTATACATGCAAAGATGCTCTGCTTTTCGTGAAATGACCCACTCCCTCCACAGCATCGGGTGATCTTGGGTCTGGCACAGCAGAGCTGCCTCGCCTTGGCACTGCAACCATCCCGATTGCACAGGAGGACTTGTAAGGAGCAAGGGGTAGAGTGCTACGGCATACCATCATACTGACTCCAGCATCATAGCTCTTTCCAACATACACACACACTCATAAAACAAAACAAGATGGGGAAGGGAAGTATGGAGCTGTGCCCAAGAAACAGAGAAGTGGAGAGGTGGACACCACTGCAAACTGCAGAGTGTGTCCTCACTGACAGTCCTCAGGCTCTGTCCCACGCTGCATCAATGAGGTCTGCGGTGAGGGCTGGAGCAGCATGGGACCTGGGTCCTTGCATCTGCTGGGGAATGGGGGGGATGGAGCCAACGTACTAAGTCCTGATGTGTCAGGGCTAACATGGTGGAGGAGGGAAGAGGCAAACTTCATGTCGCTGACAGCCTTGCTCACAGCTGCAGCAAGGCTGAGGAAGTAGCAAGCAGAGTGAAGCCCTCCCATAGCACAAGGACTCTCCCCTCCAGAGCAGATTCGACACTACAAGCAGTGTGGCCTCACCTGCCTCTGCCACCCCTCAGTGCCTGTGAGCCTGTGCTGCCAAACGTGTCAGCAACTTGGCCCCAGCCACAGCACCACCACTTCTCTCATGAGCGTCTTGGCCCCTGCCGCTGCCCCTCCAGCTCCAGGCATGACCCCCACACTGCTCTCCAAAAGGGGACTCTCCCCACCAAACAGGAGCAGTCTCACATCCCTTAGTAACCTGCACACACATGCAGCAATGCTCTGCTTGCCCCAGTCCCCTCTGCCTCCTTACCAGCCACAGCCTCATCCCCAAAGACATCCTTCTCCTGCCCACAGCACCTCATCCCTGAGCTCGGGCTCCCTGCACCTCCCAACCCATCCCTCCCCAGGCAAGCTACTGCTTTCAGCACAGCACCCTAACAAGCATCCTTCATCAGAGCCAGTGATATTGAAGTCCTTCAGTGAACTTTCTTCCTGCCCTGACCAGGCTCAGCTTCCAAGCACTTGCCCCCAGGTGACCCCAACACCCTGGTCAGTCACAGCCACCACCCACGGCACACTGCCTGCCAGACACCAAATGCACTGTGTGCCAACTACTGCCTGTGCCCCATGTGCTGCTCCACTTCACAGCCACCCCGGCTGACATGCCACGATGCCCAGTGCCCTCCTGTGTCACACATCAGCTCCTGGCAGGCAACAGGCACATGTCCTGCCTGCAGCACCACCACCACTGCACCGCTGTCCCCACACTGGGGCACCCAGCACACACCGCACTGCACTGCACCCGGGCTGGACACCCGAAACATGCTGCGGTCATGTCTACGTCCATTCGCCACTCATGCACACTCACACCTGGCTTGCAGCCCCGCTGCACACGCACACTGCCCACACCGCTGGCTCACCAGCAGCCATCACCTTTCCCAGCCCTGCGCCGCAGCTCCACGCTCCCGCGGTGCCCAGCCAGTAGCGGTGCCAGAGCCAGAGCTGGTTCAGGAGCTGGTGCCCGTACAGGTACCGGTGCCGGTGCTGCAGCCTCCTGCGCTGTGCCCCGCTCTGCCCCCAGCCGCGGTGCCCCCATGGCCGGGCAGGCAGCACAGCACAGCACAGCCTGGCCCCGCTGCGCTGCCGGCCCCGGGCGCTCCGGAGCGCCCCGGCGGGGATGGGCCCCGAAAGGCAGCGCCGCAGTCCCGCCGCGGGACACCGGCAGCGGGGGCTCTGCGGGGCACCGGGAGCGGGGGCTGGGGGGAGCCGGGCCACGGGGAGCCGTCCTGCCGGAGCCCTGGCCGGCCAAGCCCCCGCCCGCGGCATAGCGAAGTTTGCCGGGCGGTGCCGGGCGGCGCCGGGGCGCGGAGGCGGCGGCTCTGGCCGGTGGGCGCTGGGCTGGGGGTCGGGGCCGGGGCCGGGGCCGGGGCCGGTCGGGGCTTGGGTCGGGGCCGGGCGCGCACTCACCGTCTGCTGGAGGTCGGGGATGCCGATGCGGACGACGATGGCGCCGGGCGCGGGCTCCTCCATGCGCGCCGGGGCCGCCAGCTTGGGGGAGCGGGGCCCGCCGGGGCCCCGGGCCGGGTCGAGCCGCGTCTCCTCCCGCAGGCCGGCGCCCGGCTCCCCGGCGGCGGCGCGGGGCTGTCGCTCCGGCGGCGGCGGCGGCTCTGGCGGCGGCGACTCCGGGCTCTCATGCTTGCTGCCGGCGGGGCTCAGAGGCATGCTCCGTGCGGCGCGGCGGGGCGGCCGGCACCGGCACCGGGGGCCCTGCGGGAGACAAGCGGTGAGCGCGGCCGGCGGGGACCGCGAGGGCACCCCCGGAGGGACCTCGCGCCCCCCCACCACCCATGGACCCTCCGGCAGAGCACATCCAACCTCCGCAAAGGGACCTCGTGCGTTCCCCGACAGGGATCCCAGAGGGGACCCCGTCACCAAACACGGGCACCCCATGCGGGGACCCCCACCCACCCTACACAGGGAGTCCCATCTCGAAGCCCTCCCTGGGGAACCAACCCCATCAATGCAGGAATCGTGTGGGGACACCCCCAGCAATAATCCCTGTGTCAGGGACCTTGCAGAAGTGCCCCAAGCTCCACACAGGCACCCCCTCGGGGACCTATTAAAGAACACCTGTACCGGGGAAACCCCAACCCACCACTCAGCAATCTTGCAGACACATCCCCACAGAGGTAGCTCCATTGCAGGGACCTCATGGGGACACCCCCCAACATAGATCTTCATGCCAAGGATCTTGCGTAGGACCACCCCCCACCCTAAATGGGAATCCCCATCTCATGGACCCTACAGAGATACCGCACCCCATGCAGGGATCCGCACAGGTGGCCTCCTCCCAGCAGGGGCCAACTACCACCACACCCCCTGCCCAGGCCCCAGAATGCAGCACATTTGGGGGGCCTGCCTGGCTCGTTCCACCACTGGGGGAGTCATGAGGGAGGCTGGACATCAGCAAAACAAGCAGGTGCAACTCATGGAGGGCTCAGCACTTTGCCCATCTCAGGGTTTTATAGGGAAAGGTCTTGGTTCTTGCCCTGCAAACTTCATCCTGCAGGTGCTTAAATGCTGCCCTCTCTGAGGTCTCCGAGACTCCTGCTCAGAGGCTGTCACCACCCATGATGTGGCTGTGCACACCCACCAACAGCCAGATTGGCCCTTGGGGTTCAGCCTCCAGCAGCATCTCCACCAGCTCATCAGGCAGTGAACAGGGGCCATCTGCCAGGGGCTCCCCAAACTGTATTTGGACAACAGGATTCTTGTGCTATTGCCCTCGTGCCAAGGTTTTGGGAGTGGGAGTATGGATGGCCAGTTCCCCCCCAGGAACCTGCCTCAGTCAGAGAAGCACGTGCCCGTGGTGGAGCGGTGGCAGGCACAGCTACTGTTAGCTCCAGCTCACAGAGCACAGGCATGACTGGCCACTGCCCCAGGCTGCTATTTTTGCCAGTCCGCCTGCCAGTGAGAACTAGAGACAGGAGAACCCTGCCTGCCTGGCAGGTCAGGTCCTTGCTCCCAGGCAGGGACAGGCCAGTAACCGTCCTGCCAAGAGCAGATGGGATGCTGGGCTGAGCTCTGCAGGACTGTGCATGGGACTATGTCCGGTCCATCACTGGCCAGGATTCAAAGCTTTAATCTACATGACAATCCTCAAACAGAAATAGCCCCCAAACCACTGAGAGCTGGAGAGATTTACGGTACGGCCTGGATCTGTCCAGGAAATGACTAATGGTGCTTCCTTCAGCCCTCTCACCCTGAGGCCAAGGGACTGCAACGAGGCAGGCATCAGGGAGAGCCTGACTCTTGACAGGGCAGCCTGGCCTCAAGCAACTCTCCCAGATGGAGCAGCATCTGCTGCAAATGTCCTGCACCAGTAGAGAAAGCAAGACAGGCAGAGAAGGCTGCATCTTCAGACCTGTGCAACTCCATGGCACTAACCCCAAAACTGAAATCATGGGTGGATGATGACAAACAAGAGCATCCCAGGAGCAACTGGCCAGTCTCTGAGCTCCTCCTTTCCTTCCCACACCTGCAGACCTGTGCAAGAGATCTGCAGGTCCTGACTGTATGCTGCTGCCTGCCAGGACAAGGAGCAGAGGGTCAGCAGCTTCCCTTGCAGTCACAGCTCCCCTCACTCCTGGACTCCAGTGTTGCCCTGGCATGTGTCAAGCCTGTGCACCTGCACGGAGCACACAGTAACATAAGTTTCAGTCATTCCTAACCAGTCCCTTTCCAAGGTGTGACAACATGTTCTTGCCCAGCAGCACAGAAAGCCTAAAAAGTCACAACGGGGACTGCCTGTGCAACCGCACCTCTCCTGCTGTGTGCTCCCTGGGGTCTGGGAACAGCACCCTGACAAGGAACTGGGGCAAGAGGGGGGGGCTGGAGTGCTGGAAAGCACCTGTGCTCCCCATCTGGGGTCTGTCCAGGCCCTGGGTAAAGGCACATCAAAACTGCAGAGCTTTGGAGAAAATGCCAGCACTTAGCAGAGCATGGGTCTGGGACAAAGGCTTTTCAGAGGAAAATAAGGGCTCCAGGCTAGGCTCTTCAGAGGGTCACAGGGGACAAGGTGGGGCTATCAAGGGGAGGAAGTGGATGAAATGGCCATGAGTCACAAGCAGCTGAGAAGCAAGCCCCAGCTGAGATCTCTGGCAGCTCAGAAGACAAAGGCGTAAGAGTGGCCAGGAAGGGAGCAGGCAAAACTATCTGTGGAACAAAGGGCAGAGCAGGAAGCAGAGAAGCCAGAGCTGGGAAGCCAGCAGCTGTGGCTGCACATGGCAGAGGCACTGAGGAGCAGCTGGACGCCAGGAGAAGAAACCTACAACCGTGCAAGCATGGGTCCACAGCACTGCTCCTGGTTGGGCACCAGCAGCCCCACTCCTGTGCAGTGTCTCGGTCCTTGGGGAAAGCACCAGGGCCTGGCCTGTCCCCACACACATGCTGCCCGGCGCAGGGGACACGGCAGGTCCAGGAGATGCAGGGCATGGCTGGCCCCGGCAGAGCTCAGTGCCCTGCTGCACAAGTCCCGGGCAGGACAGGCACCAAGCAGCAGCAGGGACGGGGACTCCACAGACTCATGGTGGAATTGGCACAACCCACAAACAGCCCAGAGACAGTGCCCGAGACTTTGACAGCTGTGGCAGGGGAAGTGGGGCTGGGGGACACCGGTCTGCACAGAGGAGGCTGTGCCACTTGCAGGGTCAGGATGGGCAAGCAGAGGGGCTGCATCAGGCATCCCTGTCCTGGGACTGCCCCTGAGGCCAGCGGCCAGCAGCCACCAGCAGGGCAGAGCATCATCAGATGCACGCAGGGGATGGACGGGCTCTGCCAGCAGCTCAGTGAGGCCTGAATGCAAACAAGGGCTGAACACAGAGCAAGCAGCTCCAGCTCGTGGCCTCTCAGTGGCAAATCTCCCTCCACCTGCCCTGCAGCAGTACTCATCTCAGCCAGTGCCTGTGGTTCGCTGCTATAGCTCTGTTCGATTATTGCTGTTCAATTATTTTATTTCTTTCCTCTTTTTCTGTCTTGTTATTTCAATAGAGGGAGAAATTAAATGCTCCAGATGGTAATTGTCAGGATTATTCTTGCTTTTTTTCCAATCTTCTGGTACCTCATTAGTTCCCAATGATGTTTCAGATACAACTGTGAATGACTGGAAAAATGTGTTGGCCACCCCCACCCCTGAACTCCATTACAGACTTGCAGAGTCATTCACATTCATTTTCTCTTATTAAACCAACTTATCTGCTGAAAAAAAAATAATAAAATCACTTATCTTGAAAAAAAGATACAAATTGAGTATCTTAGAAATTATAATCCAAAGAGTCTTATTCCAACACCAGGAAAAATTGATGAAAAATCATCAGAGTTATAAAATCTTTCAGGAAGATTTTATAGTGACAGGAACAAATCAGTAATGCTTCTGTCAAAGAAAGTCACGCCTCACCAGCATAGTAGAGCTTCCCACGTGTCACCAGGAGCACCAAAGATGACGTTCAGAACACAGCCTTTTATTTGGACTCCCAAATACTCTGCAACAGCCCTGACAAGAGGTTGTGAAGTACAGCTACCTTCACCTCTTTTCCCGAGAGGAACAGTGTTCCCTAATCACCAGCCCCTCTCCATCGCTCCCAATGCCACAATCTGAAGTACCACCCCTGCCACCACTTACACATCCCACCACCGAGAGCAACTATGCCACAGGGACTGTCCCAGGCCGTGCTGCTGAGCACCACTCTGACATTGTCACTGTTACTCCCCCAAGAGCTCTGGCCCTCTGCATCACCCTTGCTCTCCAAGGAGGGCCCTGGAGAATGCCCAGCCTTGGCACAGCAGTGGGACCCAGCAAGGGCTGAAGAAAACGAGCAGCCTCAGGGCATGTGAAGGGCAGGAATGGGAAAACAGGGCACAGGACAGCAGGGGTGCAGCCCAGACTGCTCCTGGGATAGGGCAATGGGCTGCTCCAGTGGCACCTCCGGGGAGCCGGGCAGTTGCTGTCCCCCAGCCCAGCTGGCAGGGTGAGCAGTGGTTGCCAGAGGAGCCCAGGGAGGGCTGCAAAGACCCCTGCCCGCTGTCAGTCAGCACCAGGTCCTGCAGCCCAGGACAAGAGCCCAGCTCCCTGCAGGGCCACAGCTGCCCAGTGCTCGGCTGAGGGAGGGCTCTCCCTGTCCTCAGGGCTAGGGCTGGCACACACAGGCACCAGCTCTGAAACCCTCTTTCCAAACACCTTCCTCCAGGCCTCCTCTCACCCTCTCTCCTCTTCCTGGAAAGCTGTTTCAGACCTTTCATTGCTGTTACGGTTAGCAATGGCCTAATTTCTAGCCCACACAAGCATGGCTAGTTTACCCTATTCCTGCGTCAGCATTGTCTGCTAGCCTGCACAGCTCCTCTCCCCTCCTCTGTTTATGTAAGTGTTTATATACATCACAGACAGCAATTAGAGCCACACTACAACTTTAGCCTGTTTGCAGGCTAAAAAAGTGCTGCTTATGCAGTCTCCTCTTGCATGGCAGACCCCTAACCCAGAGACACTGTGCTGCAGCACTTGGGACAATGGCAGATTCATGAGGGGCCCCAGCACATGTGGAGTCCCAGTCCCAGGGACTGCACCAGTCACTGGCTGGAGTCACACTTAGGGACACCTCCAAAGGAGCCCTCTGCATGGCTCATGCCTTGCTGGGCTTCAAAGCCGTTGTCACCTCCCCCCCCCCCCGGCATCACAGAGAGGTCTCAGCTCTGGCCCATGCAGCAGTCCCACA